TTCTATCATGTTACGAGAGGTTGTTCTAGGCTAGCAAGTGTCACTGGTCGGAGTTGGCTATGCAACGGTGGATTTCCTACTAGGGTATTCCTGTGCATGGCAAATTCTAAATTCTGGTACAGTTCAGCTAAAAGCTAACGAGGTGAAGCCGATTCTGTGAGCTGAGCTGGGGTGGGAAGAAGGGGAGGAGGGGTGGGGAGAAGGGGAAAGGGGAAGGGAAGAGGGGAAAAAGGAGGGAGCAGGTGCGAAGGAGAATGGGGGAAAATGGGGGAATCCAGTGGCAAGTCAATGATACTTTGCCCACTGAAACACAGACGCCTGAACGTCCCAGCGCGCTGTGTGTGTTGGCCAACCAATTCAGGCATTCTGTTAAGTCGGCTGATACACTATTCGTGGTACAGCTTGAGAATGTCGAGGCCTCGGAGCCAGCAATTGAGGATTTTCCTCCTCAAATGAAAATACTGGCAGAGGAATTCAAGGAAGTGTTTGAAACCATCCCTGATGGACTTCCGCCTGACCGCGCAGTGGGTCACACCATCCCTGTTGAACCAGGAAAGGTTCCACCCTTTCGACCTCTGTATCGCCTCAGTCCAGCTGAGTACGAAGAGGCCAAACAACAGATCGAGGAATACCTCAGAAAAGGATGGATTGAACCCAGTGCATCCCCTTACGGAGCACCAATTTTGTTCATTAACAAGAAGGGCGGAGGATTACGCATGTGCGTAGATTATCGTGCCTTGAACAAGATTACGGTGAAGAACAGATACCCTCTACCACGAATTGAGGATCTGTTCGATCGGCTCCAGGGAGCTCAGTGGTTCAGTGCGCTGGACTTAGCTCAGGGGTATCATCAGCTACGAATCACCGAAGAAGATGTTCCAAAAACGGCTTTCAGAACGCCGTTCGGGCATTTTCAGTGGCGTGTGTTAAGTTTTGGCTTGACAAATGCTCCCGCGTCATTTCAGCGAGCAATGAATGATGTGTTTCGGGAGGCAATCGGCCAATTCGTCCTGGTATACTTGGATGACATCCTCGTGTACTCGAAGACCGAAGAAGAACACACGCAACACCTGAAATGGGTGTTAGGAAAACTGCGAGAGCATAAATTCTTTGCTCGATTGTGGAAGTGTCACTTCTACAAACGCGAGTTGGAATACCTTGGTCACTTGGTAGGCAACGATGGCCTCAAAGTTGATCCAAAGAAAGTGGCGGCAGTCCAACAGTGGCCCGTTCCACAGGACGTGGGACAGGTCAGATCATTTCTTGGACTTGCGAACTATTTTCGCCGTTTCTTGGAAAATTATTCCTCCGTAGTCGCTCCACTGACTGCCCTCACTCGTAAAGGAAATGCTTGGCAGTGGACCGATCAATGCCAGAAGGCATTTGAGGAGGTAAAGACCATGCTGACCAATGCTCCAGTGCTGGCTTTGCCAGACCCGTCCAAGCCCTACGAGGTGGTAACTGATGCCTCGACTGTAGGGATTGGCGCAGTTCTTTTACAAGAAGGACGCCCCGTGGCATTTGAGAGTAGAAAGCTTTCACCGGCTGAGCAGCGCTATACAACTTCCGAACAAGAATTGTTGGCGGTTGTGCATGCGCTACGAACATGGAGATGTTATCTCGAAGGTGTTGACTTTCGGGTCACGACCGACCACTGTCCGAACACCTATTTTGCCACTCAAGCCACACTCACCCGCCGTCAAGCTCGATGGGCTGAACTCCTGAGTGGGTTCACCTACGATATTCGATATCGAGCGGGCTCGACGAACATGGCTGATCCTCTGAGCAGACAGCCGATTGGGGCAGCAACGGGTGTTGATGATAAGGAACATGAAGCTGTGTTTGCTGCTTGTTTCAACATCCTCGCAGCTGCTCGAGTGAGCGAGATTGCCTTTGGTGGTTTTCTGAAACGCATTCGCGCAGGGTATGATATTGACCCTTGGTTTCAGAACCCACAGAATACAAACAATCTCTTGTGGGAGCATGAGCTCTGGTGGCACAAGAAAGAAATTGTAGTCCCACATGTGGGAAACCTGCGGAATGATATTCTCGCAGAGGTGCACGCCACTAAGTATGGAGGACACCTGGGTGTCAAGAAAACCCGGTGGGCCCTCAGTGATGTATACTGGTGGCCGGGATTGGGCATTGAGGTCCAGCAGTTTGTAACTCGCTGTGACACGTGTGCACGGAACAAGCCGAGCACACAGAAGCCTGGTGGTCTGCTTCAACCACTTGAGATTCCCGATGAACCTTGGGAGAGTGTATCGATGGATTTTATCACCGATCTCCCCAAGACGCGAGATGGTCATACAGCGATACTAGTGTTTGTGGATCGCTTGACCAAAATGGTGCACTTCGTGCCCACGACGACTGACGTGTCTGCGGAAGATACGGCAAAGTTGTTTGTGACACACGTTTTCCGCTTACACGGTTTGCCTCGTGTGATGGTGTCTGACCGAGACCCGCGCTTCACAAGCCGGTTCTGGCAAGAGGTCATTAAGACACTCGGAACGAAACTCAAGATGTCGTCTGCGTTCCACCCGCAAACGGATGGACAGACAGAGCGGACCAACCGCACTCTTGAGCAAATGCTTCGTTCTTTCATAAGCCCAACTCAGGACGATTGGGATGAATTGTTGCCAGTCGTGAAATTCGCTGTAAACAATTCTGTGCATGAAAGCACCCATGAGAAACCCTTTGTCCTGAACTGTGGTCGGCACCCCACAACCCCCGCGACGCATGGGATTAAGAACCTCAAAATCCCTGCCGCAAAGGACTTTATTGGAAATCAGCAAGCGGCATTGAAGTCCGCTCGCCATTGGCTGCAGCTTGCCCAACAGAGGCAAAAGTCCTATGCCGACATGAAACGCCGGGAAGTCGTCTTTGCAGTTGGCGACAAAGTATTACTGAGTACGAAGAACATTCGTCTCAAGATCCCGGGAGCACGAAAGCTTTTCCCTCGTTGGATTGGGCCCTTCGAGGTGATTGCGCGTGTTGGTGAGGTCGCATATAGGCTCAAATTGCCTGCGACATTGCAGATTCACAACGTCTTCCACGTGTCTCTGTTGAATAAGTACGTTGCAGAAGGCAAGTACTTACCGCCACCAACCATCGCTCTCGAGAAGGAACTCTTTTATGAAGTCGAGCGTGTGCTAACGCACCGTGATCGACAACGCGGCCGCAAAACAGTTCGTGAGTTCCTAATTCAGTGGAAAGGCTATGGGCCGGAACACAACTCATGGGAGCCTGAAGAACACTTGACCGAAGCAGCGGTTCAAGCATATATGGAAGACCTGGCTCTACGAGCAGGCCCACAACCAGTGGACGGGGTTGACCCTGGTCGTAATGTGGTGCGCCGTGCTCGGAGCACTCGTCCTCAGAAGCACCCTAGGGCAACAGGGACGTTGCCACCTGGGGGGGGAGGAGTGTAACGCATCGACCTACTTCTCACCTAACTCCCAAGCTAACTAACACTCAAGGCATTCGCCGAGATTTCTCTCGATAGAAATTGTGCTACGAGTGAGTGAAGGTTGGATTGGGAAAGAAAGGTTGGGTTGGAAGGGAAAGGTTGGATTGGAAATTCCAAACCTCAACAAATAGGATTGGAATATTCCAACCCATCAAAGTGGAAATCCAAAGGTTGGAATTTCAACCAATCAGAAACTGCCAGTTCAATGTTACAAGCTACTCTATCTAAAATGCAACCATACAATGGTTCTAAGTTGGGTTTTCCAACCCAACCTAATTGCCACATAGGCTCCAAGCCTAGGAACCCTCCCACCATGGAAGCCATGGTTGGGAGAGTTCCCAAAGGGGTGTATTGAGGGGGTTTGAGCTTCCAAGCTCATTCTCAACCTCCCACTCCAACAAAACAATTGGAAATGGGATTGTTTCTCTAAGTCCTTTTGGGCTCTCTCACAAGTCTCCCTACACTACTACTCCAAGTGCTTTTCATCAAAGGCATCAAGAAGATCTTCATCTCCAAGGCTATTAAGGCTAGTTAAAGCTACTATTTTGTATTGGAATATTATAAAAGCCTTGTAACCGCCATTATAATAGCCCTGGGCATTACATGCTGGGTCTGGACAGAAGAGAGGTTTGATAGGGGATGAAGAGAAAGTTCAAGATGATAAAAAGGTTCAGGTTTAGAGATAAAAATGACACAAGCCAGCCAGAAGAGCTACTTATTCTAGAAAGAAGGCGAGCGACTCGGAATGGAAATTGTGCCGCGTCGCGTCTCTGTTTGTTCACGGCATCTTGGCTTAGCGCCTTGATGCCGTGCATTGTTAGATTCTATCATGTTACGAGAGGTTGTTCTAGGCTAGCAAGTGTCACTGGTCGGAGTTGGCTATGCAAGGGTGGATTTCCTACTAGGGTATTCCTGTGCATGGCAAATTCTAAATTCTGGTACAGTTCAGCTAAAAGCTAACGAGGTGAAGCCGATTCTGTGAGCTGAGCTGGGGTGGGAAGAAGGGGAGGAGGGGTGGGGAGAAGGGGAAAGGGGAAGGGAAGAGGGGAAAAAGGAGGGAGCAGGTGCGAAGGAGAATGGGGGAAAATGGGGGAAGAGAGTGGCGAAGCGGGGGGTCAGGGTGGTGTTACCGTTTTCGGTTGTTTTCGCGCATTTCTCGATGTGTCGTCATGTTTGTGTCACTTCACACGCACACAACGGCACCTCGGGGGGCGTGTGGTATGAATTTGTTTTTGCTCGAACCCTACCCAAACGTAGAGAAGTATTAACACGCCACTCTGACACGTTGTGCATCGCATCCCACCGCAATCAAATGAGCTCGTATGACCTCACTCGTTCAGAGACTGTTTCAGACACTTCTAATAACCAGTGTCGGCACTGATTTCATACCAGATTACTCCTAGTACCCTGATCGTCGAGCAACGAAGAAATAGGCAGTGATTGGCAATTATCGTGCTTTCAAAACGGGCTAAGGTCCTCTGCGCAACAGCGGGTCAGCTCTTAGACGAGTCGCGTCGCGAGTTTGCAAGCCATGGAGATCGATAAACCCGCCGCGGATGCCGCCGCGAATGCCGCAGGTTTCAGCGGCTCGTCGCCCGCTTCTGACGGCGAGCAGCATCGACGAGGCATTCCCGTGGCGCAATTCGTTGCTGACGTGGAGGCGTTTTTGGCGGGCAGAGAAGCGCCAGGTGTCATCCAATCATTGGAGGAGAGGTAATCTACGTTCGGATTTCGATCATTGTTGTTTCTCAGCTCGCTCTCCGCCGCTCTCTCCTCCGCTCCCCTCCGCTCTCCCCCGCTCTCCTCCGCTCTCCTCCGCTCTCCTCTGCTCTCCTTCGCTCTCATCCCCTCTCCTCCCCTCTCCTCCCCTCTCCTCCCCTCTCCTCCCCTCTCCTTCGCTCTCCTCTCTCCGCCGCTCTCCGCCGCTCTCCTCCGTCGTTCCATGGTTCTCGAATCGCACCATCGTTTTGCGGTCTTTTTGTTTCGATGGTACAGGATTAACACCATTATGTCATTTGAACTAGATGTGTAGCATCCTTTCGTTCTCATTTCGATCCTTTTTGTTTCGATGGTACAGGATTAACACCATTATGTCATTTGAACTAGATGTGTAGCATCCTTTCAGTCGCACTGGATTTGCACCTTACGTTGGTACACGAATAGTATCCTGAAATCGTCATATCATTATTTAATCTGCTCCTGCTGCCTCTGTTGTCATTGCCCTTCCTGTTATTGTCTGATATTGCCTCTTCTGCCACTGCTATCCATGTGTTTGTCGTATCTGTCTCTGGGCATTACATATTTTACATTGAGTGACCATCAGTCGAGTTTCCTTTCTCTCACTGTTCCTCTCCGCATCTCACCGCACCCCACCCATCCCCACCTGTCAGGATGCAGCAATACAAGCTGTTGGAAATCAAGCTGCTCACCCAGAAGAGAGACCTGCAGGTATGCGCTCACACAGAAGAGAAATTTCCAGTATGCATTAGCATATGAACGATGCCTAGGCATCCGGTATGGTTTAACCAAGAATGAGCACGCTGGTCCGGCCTGGGTCAGGCTGGCCCGGCCCGGGTCAGGCCGGTTCGTATGACTCCCAGGCCGAACCTCTGATTTGGCATGGCTGCTCCGCCCGCCGAACCAATTTTGGTTCGGTTTCGGCCCATGGTTAGGGGTCTGGCCGAAATGGCCTGCTACGCATCGCGGCCCGGGTCGAGCCGAAATGGCCCGGGTCGAGCCGAAATGGCCTGGGTTGAGCCGAAATGGCCTGGGGTTGAGCCGAAATGGCCCGGGTCGAGCCGAAATGGCCTGGGTTGAGCCGAAATGGCCTGGGGTTGAGCCGAAATGGCCTGGGTCGAGCTGAAATGGCCTGGGTCGAGCCGAAAATGGCCCGAGAGGCAACCATTGGTGCTGCTGCAGGTAGTGGTGGCAGCAGTGGTACGGCTTACAGTCACACAATGGCCTGGGTTGAGCCGAAGTGGCCTGGGTCGAGCCGAAATGGCCTGGGTCGAGCCGGAATGGCCTGGGTCGAGCCGAAATGGCCTGGGTCGAGCCGAAAATGGCCTGGGTCGAGCCGAAATGGCATGTGAGGCATGGCAGGCATGTGAGGCATGGCAGGCATGTGAGGCATGGCAGGCATGTGAGGCATGGCAGGCATGTGAGGCATGGCAGGCATAGTTGGTGAGGAGTGGTGCTGAGTGCGAGAGAAGCCCTGCTGAAGCAGCACAGCTGCGGGTTGATTTACAAGGTCTTACGGAAGAGAAAGAGAGTCGTCTAGCAGCAGCAGCTGCTGCTAAAGCCCTCTCTTTCTCCTCCAGAAGGCCCTCCAAATTAACGCGCAAGTTGCTTCTCCTTGCCCTTCCTTGCTTCTCCTTATTTCCTCTGCACTTCTCCTTACTTTTCTCGTCCGTTTATTTATTTATTTCCCTTCCCTTCCCTTTCCTTCCCCTAACTTCCCTTCCCTTCCCTTCCTTTCCCTTCCCTTCCCTTCCTTCTCGTCCCTTCCCCTCTCGTCCCTCCCTGTCCCTCACACCAGTCGAAGCTGCCAGACATAAAGAAGAGCCAGGAGATTGTGCAGACGCTGGTGAAGAAACGGGAAGAAAAGCAGGTACGGTGGAGTGGCTATGAGTTGCTGCACGTTCTGATAAAGTAGTTAGGGTAGGCTTTTCATGTCGCCCAAGTGGTGTGTGACATAAAGAAGAGCCAGGAGATCGTGCAGACACTGGTGAAGAAACGGGAGGAGAAGCAGGTAAGTTTCATACGTCTGAATGAATGTCTTACGTGCTCAGATGTTCACTCAAAGACTTTTGCAGTGCAGACGCTGGTGAAGAAGAGAGAGGAGAAGCAGGAAGGGCGGTTTGATGGTTTGATCCCTGAGATTTGAAATTCCGGTATTTCATTCCCGAGGCCTGATTTGTGAGGGTTGATTTTGAAATTTTACACTCTGAGGAAGGCGAAAGAAGAGAGAGAGGAAGAGCAGTTAGTGGTTGGACTGGACTATGTGTTGGCCGATGGGGTGTTTGAATTGAATGTGCAGATGCGAAGGGGATGCGGAATGTTGCACAGTTGACTGAATTCACTTCCTCCCCGCATCTCTCCTCCCCTCTCTTGCTGGCAGCAAGTTCGTTTGGACTACCGGGTTAACCTCTTCACTCCCCGTTTCCTCTCTACTCCATCCCCTCCTCCCTTCTGTTCGTACTTGCAGTAAGTGGTTGGACTATGTGTTGGCCGATGGGGTGTTTGCCTGTGCAGATGTGAAGGATGCTGAATGTTGCACCGTTGATTAAGCTTCACTTCCTCCCCGCATCTCTCCTTCTGTTGCCAGCAAGTGCGTTTGGACTATGTGTTGGCCGATGGGGTGTGCGTGCTCCCAAGCAGACGTGAAGGATGCTGATGCTTATGGTCTAATGGTTAACTTGTATGCTTCTCTCCTCCTCTCTGTTCCTGCTGGCAGCAAGTGCGTTTGGACTATGTGTTGGCTGATGGCGTGTTTGCTCGAGCAGACCTGAAGGATGCGGACTCGGTGTGCCTGTCTGCTTCTCCTCCTCTCCTCTTCTCTGCTCCCCTCTCCTCTTCTCCCATCCCCTCTCCTCCTGCTGCCAGCAAGTGCGTTTGGACTACGTGTTGGCTGACAGGGTGTTCGTTCGCCCGAGCAGATGTGAAGGATGCTTGTAGCTCAACGGTTAACTTCTTTTCTTCCATCCCCTTACCTTTCTTCCCCTGCTGGCAGCGAGTGCGTTTGACCTATGTCTTGGCCGATGGGGTGTTCTCCCGAGCAGACGTGAAGGACGCCTATGCATATGCCAAAGTTGACTTCTTTCCTTCTTTACCTCCCTTTTCCCCCTTCCCGTGCTGGCAGCAAGTGTGTTTGGACGATGGCGTGTTTGCTCGAGCGGACGTGAAGGATGCGGGCTGGGCTCGGTGTGCCTGTGGCTGGGCTCGGTGTGCCTGTGGCTGGGCTCGGTGTGCCTGTGGCTGGGCTCGGTGTGCCTGTGGCTGGGCTCGGTGTGCCTGTGGCTGGGCTCGGTGTGCCTGTGGCTGGGCTCGGTGTGCCTGTGGCTGGGCTCGGTGTGCCTGTGGCTGGGCTCGGTGTGCCTGTGGCTGGGCTCGGTGTGCCTGTGGCTGGGCTCGGTGTGCCTGTGGCTGGGCTCGGTGTGCCTGTGGCTGGGCTCGGTGTGCCTGTGGCTGGGGGCCTCTGCTGCTCCTCCTCCCCTCCCCTCTGCTGCTCCTCCTCCCCTCCCCTCTGCTCCCCCCCCCTCTGCTCCCCTCTGTTCCTGCTGCCAGCGTTTGGACTATGTCTTAGCCGATGGCGTGTTCGCCCGAGCAGACGTGAAGGACGCTTTTAGCTCACGGTTAACTTCTTTACCTCCCCTCCCCACTCCTGCTCCTGCTCCTGCCAGCAAGTGCGTTTGGACTATGTCTTAGCCGATGGCGTGTTCGCCCGAGCAGACGTGAAGGATGCAGACTCGGTGTGCCTGTGGCTGGGGGCGAATGTCATGGTGGAATACCCCTTTGATGAGGTGAGGATGCGAGCAAGATGTGGTTTCAGAGTGAGTGAGTGCATGCAACGCAAGTGTGATGCAGACTCGGTGTGCCTGTGGCTGGGGGCGAATGTCATGGTCGAATACCCCTTTGATGAGGTGCTATGAGGTGAGGATGAGAACAAATTGTGGTATCAGCGCGAGTGAGTGCATGCATTACGAGTGTGAAGTGAAGGATGCGGACATGACGTCAGCAGCATGATGTCAGCAGCATGTTGGCAGCATGATGTCAGCAGCATGATTTCAGCAGTATGATGTCTGCAGCATGATGTCAGAAGCATGATGTCAGCAGCATGATTTCAGCAGTATGATGTCAGCAGCATGATGTCAGCAGCATGATGTCAGCAGCATGATGTCAGCAGCATGATGTCAGCAGCATGATGTCAGCAGCATGATTTCAGCAGTATAATGTCAGCAGCATGATGTCAGCAGTATGATGTCAGCAGCATGATGTCAGCAGCATGATTTCAGCAGTATGATGTCAGCAGCATGATTTCAGCAGTATGATGTCAGCAGCATGATGTCAGCAGCATGATGTCAGCAGCATGATGTCAGCAGCATGATGTCAGCAGCATGATGTCAGCAGCATGATTTCAGCAGTATAATGTCAGCAGTATGATGTCAGCAGCATGATGTCAGCAGCATGATTTCAGCAGTATGATGTCAGCAGCATGATTTCAGCAGTATGATGTCAGCAGCATGATGTCAGCAGCATGATGTCAGCAGCATGATGTCAGCAGCATGATGTCAGCAGCATGATGTCAGCAGCATGATTTCAGCAGTATAATGTCAGCAGTATGATGTCAGCAGCATGATGTCAGCAGCATGATTTCAGCAGTATGATGTCAGCAGCATGATGTCAGAAGCATGATGTCAGCAGTATGATGTCAGCAGCATGATGTCAGCAGCATAATGTCAGCAGCATGATGTCAGCAGTATGATGTCAGCAGCATGATGTCAGCAGCAGGATTTCAGCAGTATGATGTCAGCAGCATGATGTCAGCAGCATGATGTCAGCAGCATGATTTCAGCAGCATGATGTCAGCAGCATGTCCTTTGATGGCATCATGATTGCGCAAGAGCGAGATAAAATTCATGCATATTCACGCGTGACGGCTACTGACTCGGTGTATCTGTGTGGCTGGCTGGTGGGCCAAGGGAAACGTGATGATGTGGATCATGTGACAGCATCATGACGTCATCATGTGACAGCTTCATGACGTCATCATGTGACAGCTTCATGACGTCATCATGTGACAGCTTCATGACGTCATCATGTGACAGCTTCATGACGTCATCATGTGACAGCTTCATGACGTCATCATGTGACAGCATCACGCGGTTTCATTGTGGCGATAGTTCTATTCCCAAGGGCGTCAAAAGAACCTGGAGGTGAAAGCAAAGGGCGATGATGGGATGGGAATGCATGCATGCCTTGATGATGCCAGCATGCGCTGATGATGTTCACGCGTAAGCGTTGTAAATGTTGGATTCAATCAATAAACCCTTAAAACTTCTTTTCATGTGCTTTTTGGTACTTCTTTCGGGTCAGTTCACTCCATTCCCCTTCTCCCAATTCCAACCAATTTTCACCCATGCAACCAGGCTCTGGCTCTGCTGGCGCGCAATGAGGAGAATGCCACAAGCAGCCTTGCAAACATCGATGGTGACCTGCTGTTCGTGCGAGATCAAATCAACATTACTGAGGTGAAGTGTTGACATCTGGTCTCCATGTCATCACATCTGGTCTCCATGTCATCACATCTGGTCTCCATGTCATCACATCTGGTCTCCATGTCATCAAATCTGGTCTCCATGTCATCAAATCTGGTCTCCATGTCATCACATCTGGTCTCCATGTCATCAAATCTGGTCTCCATGTCATCACATCTGGTCTCCATGTCATCAAGTCTGGTCTCCATGTCATCACATCTGGTCTCCATGTCATCACATCTGGTCTCCATGTCATCACATCTGGTCTCCATGTCATCAAATCTGGTCTCCATGTCATCAAATCTGGTCTCCATGTCATCACATCTGGTCTCCATGTCATCAAATCTGGTCTCCATGTCATCACATCTGGTCTCCATGTCATCAAGTCTGGTCTCCATGTCATCACATCTGGTCTCCATGTCATCACAGAGGTACATACAGTTCGGCAATCTCCATATTCTCACAGTTACAGATGGTACTTTGATCGCAACACATCTTGTGGTACCACTGACAGTAGTACACACAATATCAGCATGTTATCATATCTAAGGGCAAAGACATCGGTATCTCCATATTTTCACATCTAGTGGTACTGGTGAGTTTATTGACAGTACACAAGTGATTGCGCAGTGCATTTCTTCTTCACATTTTGTAATGTGACTGTAGCAAGGATACACAGTTTCATTTAGTGCACGGCACCCTGTCTAAACCTCTTTAAAGCCCGCGGCCCAAGTTGCGGGTCGCGCTGGTCAACCTTACTATTCTTGATCGAGGGTTGCTTTGGGTTTCTTTCTTGCACGAACTAGGGTTACGGATTGTGAGAAGAAATCTGATTGGTCAGCGCACTTCCACTGAGTTCGCGAAACGTGAGCAGGGGGAAACTTTCAATATTATTATCTGTGCAACATGGGACTCTCGCAACTGAACACGAGCTGGCCCCTGGTGTTTGCTGTGTCAGCAAGAAAAACAAAGCGTGGCGAAAATCTGGGCGAAACCAACTCCACCCACCCCCCCAACACCTCGACTATTCTTTCTCCACCTCCCCCACCACCCAATGGTCAACCTTAGTAAGGTTGAACAACTTGGGCTGCGGGCTTTAAGAGTGTTTTCTTCCATTGAATGTGCCATCCAAATCGCACATACGTAAATAATCTCTGTTGCCAGAACTCTTACTCCTTTTTTCCATATTTCCGCTGTATCGCAGGTGACTGTAGCGAGGGTGCACAATTGGGACGTTCAGCGCAGAAGAGCAGCCGGGGCTGGAAGCAGCACCAGTGCCTTGAGGGAGGAGATTGCTGCCTGAAATTATCATTTGCCCGTATTTGTCCTAAGAAAAACGGTATTTCTAGGCAAAAGTTACCGTACCTGTATCAACCATGGTAGATCAGATGATAAGGAGGATGGTGGGTTGGCTTGATAATCCACTATGCAGTATACAGAACCGTGGACGGATCACTCAGGTTCAGTCAGATCAGACATGCACTCACGCCATGCCACCCGACAAGCAGCTCAAAGACCAGACCAGACGGACACTTGCAATGCTAGTGCTTCCCTGCACCCATCCATCCATTCACAGGATCATAGTCGACGGATGAGTGCAGTCATGGACAGAGTATGGTCCTGTCCACTTGAGACATGCACTCATCCCATGCCACCCGACAAGCAGCCCGAAGACCAGATGGACGCTTGCAATGCTAGTGCTGCTTTGCCCCCAGGCCTCCTACCATCCATGTATTCACACCCTTTCGAAAGTCCTGCAGTTGCTCAGTTCAAGCTGTGTCAGAAAGGACGAGTAAACATTGACGGCAGATGCGGTTGCTTGAGAAGCGTTTTGAGGAAAAACGTGTGCAGCTTATGCAGATGCTCGATGTTCTTTGGGACTCTTGGTTTGAAGAGCAGCAAGGCAGCAGAATTTCTCCTGCAGCTGGAAGCACCAGAGTTTGCTGGTGATGCAGATTTCCGAGAAGATTGTCTTTAGAAAGAGAGAGGGCGACGCAAGTGGTACAGCCCCAGAGGTTTCAGGGAGTTGGCAGATGGAGTCAGGGAGGTGGGAAAGAGGCATGCTGTGCAGCACCAGTGTTTCCAGGGCAGAAAGCCGGAACATGGAGTTGGGAGGCCTGAGAGAAACAGCTTCTGCAGCACCAGTCAGAGCTACGATCTAGGTTGCGGTGAGACGTCAACTCGCGGAGACACGGCAGCAGCAATCCTAAGTCGCCATGAAGGTGCTGTTTATCTGCAGCTGCTTATCTCCATGTCCGTCCGACTCAAAAGTTATCTGACCCCAACGATCTTAGCAAAATCCTTGTTAGCAATGACCGCAATATCGTGTGCCGCTGCCGGACATGGAAAGAGTGGCGATGCTTGGGAGGCGAGCGAGGCTGTCGAGGTGCTTATTGATCAATATTTGACCGGGAAGGATGTGAAGATGGGTGAGCGAAGTGAGGTTTGCAAGCTCGGGAGCTTCGAGCACTGAAACACTCGGGAGAAGGAGAGTATGCAGGTGCGCTAGCTGGTAGAAGGAAGCGCGGAGCTCAACATCTGGATGGAGGCAGTAGAGCGAAAGCTGCTCGAGCTGAGAACACCGTTGGAAAAACAGATCCAAGCCGTCGTCTGTGATTGAGTGCTCTTCCTTTTCTAATTCAAACGAACCCTCCGGCTCCAATGGGGTTCCGATGTGGAGAATCTTGAGACTCCAGCATGATGAGGCGAGGCGAGCGAAAAACGCGTCATTCAGAGTCCTCACGCAGCCGTCGCTAATATGGAGGTGGGTGAGGTTCGGGAAGGAAGCAAGAGAATCTGCGAGTTTTTCGCTACAAACGGCGGCTTGGTCGTTGGCGGCGAGGTGAAGCGTGGTGACGCAGTTTCGCGAAAGGCTGCTCCAGCGACGGCAGACGGCGGAGATGAGAAGAATTTCGCAAAGATTCGCAGAAGGAGGAGGTGTTGGTAATAGTGACCCTTTCTCAATGCGAATCAAACGAAGGTCATTCAGCGTCAAGGGAAGGACGCCCAATGATTCGTCACGGTCCGACTTCCTAAGCGCGGGTTGCTCGTCACCGAATAAGATCCTCGCGAGAATGTCATCGGGAAAATCTTCTATGTTTATGGAAGAATCCACTAGCTGGGCTCGACAAGACTCTAAAGCTGGTTTTTTTTGTCGACTAAAGAACCGTCTAAATCCCTGGAAGATTCTAAAGCCCATCAGTGAAGTGAGGTTGACGTGGCTACAGTGTATTTTCAGTGCATTGGATTATAGAAGCAGCAGAACAAGATGAGAGAGGGCGGGAAAAGGAGGACGAGTGAGTGGGAAAAGCAGGTTCAAAAAGCTCTGTGAAAGATTCGCAAAGCTCTGTGAAAGTTCGCCAGTGCGAGCAGGCCCACTCGCGCTGGGGGGCAACTGAACAAGGCGAGGGCGAAAGGGGGAAGTAGAGTGGGGTAGGCGGAGGAAGGGAGAGGAGCGGGAAAAGGAAGGGACAAAAGGGTTCGGGGTGTGTTCATTGGGAAGAACGGTCCCGGATGAGCAGAGGCTGAAATGTGAAATCTGTCACAATTACAAAAATAAAGTCGCACAGCTGCCTTCCAAGTGTTCTTTCGGTTTGTCCATTCAGGTCGCTGAAGCTCGCCTCATCCAGAATGAGAAGACCTGAAGCTCAAGAAGTAGTTCGCGTCTCGGGACAATGACGGGACACCAGTCTAAAAATCCGCGCAAGGTGTATGCCTTGTGTCGTGTGCCATCCCATGTGCTCCGTGCAAGCATTCCCGCTAGCATGAGAAAAACAAAAGTGGATTCTCAATCATAAAACTAAACTACTGTAAATCCATCCCTTCAAAAGCACACCAAACGAATCGAACAGCAATGGACACCGATGTCATGTTAAGGCAGCCATGGATACTATCAGGTGCTTCGACCGCAACAATGTCCTACCTACCTTCGACTATTTTTTGTTGGTGCAACCCTTGTCCGTATGCGTGCATGCGTGTGAGCATGGAATGGCATGGAGGCATGAGATGATATACATTTCATGCTTATAATAGTGTGTGAATGTTGAGTCATGCTGTCGAATGTGTGTGTCGAGTCAATAGCGAGTTATCGCTAGTCGCGTGTTACGCGGTCATTTGTCTCACGCGCGGTTTCTGTTTTGTCGTGTGTCCCGTGCGCGGTTTCTCTTTTGTCGTGTGTCGAACGTTCGGCGTGTCGCAGGTGTGTGCAGCAGACCCATCAAGAACTCAAGGACGAGTTTGTGATGAAGAACCCGGGCCTTGGTTTCAAGACACAAGTGATCTCGAAGCCCGCAAAAGGGTACACCTAAAGATAATGCAAATAGTTACATTACTTTGTGTAGTGTAACATTTCAGTTGGTGTAGGCCCTTGTGGTGGGTAGTTTCGAGACCCTTCCTGTTTGGGGGCAGTGTGGCACTGTTCCACATCACTATACCTCGGCTCTTGGGGTTTGTAGGAGCTGGGAGTCATTCCCAACTCGTAACCCTTTCTATTGTGTGTTCTAAGATTATAGTGGCTGCCATAGTGCCATTTCGTTCAAACTGACGCTGTATCGTCAATTCTTGGTGAAATCGTGCGATCTAAATTGCTTATTGTAGGCGACTTTAAGACGCTCCAGATCCAAGTTGAATCAGGTCATTTGAAAAGGTGACCAGAACGCTATGAACGTTTAAAGCCGCAGTGGAGAAATTCGACTGTGCACTCATCTTTTGTTTTAGGCACATTGGAGCCTACTGTGTCTATAACATTTTTAACAATGACTACACCATTTTTTGCAGCTTGGCGCCCTCTATAAGCGGACTTACAAATTGTACCCACAATGCGGGTATCCTTCACGCTTATCGAGTACCAGGCAAACAGTCATTGTCAACCCAAGGGCTTGTCAGTTCACTAAGGCTTAGCGCTCCACGTCTGCTTAGCATAGACATTGCATTTGCTGAGTCAGAGTTATCGCTATGGAATCTAGGTACCTGCTGTACGTCTCCTACTGGTACGCCGATGGTGTGGTCCAACATTCACAGGGCGAGCCAGATTGCTTTCGCCATCAATACCCAAGGAACAGCGTCGCCTTGGCTAAGGCTTCAACAACCTCAACCTTGGGAATGGAAGTCCAGGAAGAAACAATCTGGCTACTTAAGTAGACTGGGAAAGGTCGTCAACATCGCTTCTAAGCATCTACCAAGTTCCCGACTTCCCAGTATGCCTCCAAACGGCAGAACTACCAAGGCCGCTGCTACGATGACGCCCATTGAGGAACCGCAGGTGCCGGCGCCTGAATAGGAAGTCGTCGCTGATGAGGCGGCATCTGCTCCTGCGGTCGTCGCGGCTCAGGACGCGCCAGTGGTCTCTGCGTCTGCGCCGAATCATGGTGCTCCCGTTGTGACTTCGGCTGATCTGCAAGATCCTTCTGGATCTCGCCGTTCGGAGCTTCCTGCGCAAATGAGTGAGGAGGAAGATGAGGATGACGGATAGTTGAGTGATGACTCGGATGAGGGGATCGAACTGCAGGCGAAGGGCTTGCTTGCATCAAAGGTGCGGGTCACGCTGACGCTATTGATCCCGCATACGCTTGCTTCGGAGGTTCGCGCGGCGGAAGCATCAGTGCGTGCGCTTCTGGTGTACCCGAGGAAGACGCTTCTGGTGTCGGAGGATGCGTTAAGTGCGCTCACGTGCCAGGAGCTGCTTCCGGCGTGGCTGTCGCGGGTCCGCTATAGTCGGCTGCAGGTCACGTTCGCCTCCCTTGTTGATGCGAAAGTGGTTCGCTGTCATTTGGTGGATCACGTGGGTGCGAATGGCAAGACCCGCTACTCATTCGGCTGGCAGCACCCGATCAACAGCAGCTTCTTGAAGGCGAAGGCTGACATGCCGGAAGGAGTAGAGGTGCTTCTTAAGGGTGTGCCGGCGGAAATCACGCCGATGATCGTTTATGAGTCGCTGGCGGTCCACAAGCTGCAGAAATGCGGGCGGTCGGCGTTCCTGCAAGGCGCGGGTTTCCACCGTGTGATTGATCCGGTTTCCGGGCTGGGGACGGACAAGATTCGGGGCGTGGTGGTTCCGCACCCTGGGGACACTTACCGCTAGCGTCACATGGTGGAGGACCCGCTCGTTGACAATCACTACCTTGTGCACTTTCCATCTCTATCTTGTGGCCTCTGCCAGGGATAGCACATGGATAAGTTGCATGATGAGTATGTGGTTGAGCATAAAAGCAGCATCGCCAAATGGTCCTTGTCGATAGGCAGGGTCCATGCGCTTAACAGTAATGGGGTGGGGGTCTCACCGGCACGGCGGGGTTTGCGCTGCTGGTTTATCCTTACCTTCCTTTATACTGACGGAGTGGTGATGCGCGTGCTCTGCAGCGGCCCCCCTCAAGGCAGCAGGGGTGGTTAGGAAGCTTCTTCGGGATCCCGCGTTAGTCCTGATTTCGACTGGGTCCAGCGCGGAGGAGTGGCTGTGCGTCCAGGAGTGCTGCGACCATGCCCACGGAGAGACCTTTGAGTAGGCGGCAGCACACATCAGCTCCTTCCGCCATGCATCTGCAATAGGAACGGCCGGGGTCGCAACCCGTGCGAGCAAGGCAAAGCAGAAATTGCAGGCGGTGAAGAAGGTGTTTGGTATTCGCGCCGATGGGGCAAAGCGAAAGTGATGTCGCATCAGCTGTTGGGAGGGGAGGAAGTAGCATGGTACTAGTTAGGCGGTGATGCAGTCTCTGTAATGTCATGGAGTATATACACGATGATTTCACCTGGCAACTGCAGTCTCACCTCCGGCCCGTGGATGCTTTGGGGCCTGTCACAGGTTCCAGATGGGTAAACATACCACCCTCTCATTCAGCGTGTTGAGCGTTAACGGACTTGGTTGTTTCCAGAAGCAGCATGACACTCACGAATGGATGGCGAAGGCAGCGCAGATTATCATTCTACCAGACACCAGGATTAAAGAGGACCATAGTTTTTGGACTCACATACAAGCGGTCTCGGTCGTTGCAGTCTCACCTGCTGCTAGAGCAGGAGGGGTGGCGATCATATCACGGAATCCTGAAGTAACTCTCACAGATCCGGTCAAGGTTGGCTCTGGCCGTTTGGTGCGGGTGACGCTATTATGGAGAAGGGTAGAGGTAGTGGTCATAGCAGCCTATTTCTCGTCGAACCCGACGGCGAGGGGCCCGCACTTCAGGGACGTGCTTCAGCCGTTTGTTGCGGCGATCCCCGGTGGGAGCCACGTGGTGCTTGCGGGAGACCTGAACATCGTAGAGGACCCAGCGTTAGACAAAACATCAGGGGCTGGATCGAGAGGGGAGAATGACAAACTCATGGCGGTCTGCGGCAGATTTGACATGAGAGACACTTTTCGGGCAATTCACCCTTGCCTGCGGGAGTATACCTTCTACGCGGCGGCGATGCAGGAGAGCACGAGGATAGACCGCATCCTGGTCTCGCAGTCAATGCTGCATATGGTCCATGAGGTGTGGCATGTGGGACTTGTCAAGCGGTTCATTGATCACTGGTCCGCAGTCCATATGAAGCTGAGCGCGGGGATGGACGGGGACGCTGGCCCAGGCTTGTGGAGACTTCCGGCATCCCAAGTGGCGCGGCCTGGGGTACAGAAGAGGATTTCACTAATAGCACGGAGAAACGAGGAGAGGGGGGGTGATCAGGAGGCTCTCACGAACTCCCTCAAGGTCGGACTCAAGGCGTACACGGTGGAGGAAAGGAAGCGGGTAGCAGCCACAACGGTGCACCTGGAACGGGAGGTGGGGGAGCTGAGACAGAAAGTGATGAGCAGGCCACGGTGCACAAGAACGAAGGCGAGGCTGGTGAAATGCGAGGCTAAGATCAAGGCATATGAGAATGGGAGGCTTCAGAAAATGCAAGAGCAGGCGGGCATCAAGGTGGAGATGAACGGTGAGGCTCCCACCGGGATCCTGTCTGGGAAAATCAAGGCGAGGAAGGCGAAGACAAGGCTAGAGGCGGTGAACTATCAGGGGAAGCAACACACGGGGGCAAAGGAAGCTCTTAAAGCGGCATCCGAGTTTTACCTGGACCTGTTTGCAGCTAAGGCAGGGCCGGGGGGCTTACCGGTGGACTTCAAATTGGACAGAAGCTTCACATCGGAGGATGCAACGGCGCTACGCGCACCATGGGAGGAGGAGGAAATCAAGAGGGCGCTGGCTGAAATGGCGACTGGTAAAACCCCAGGGAGAGACGGTCTCCCGAAGGAGCTCTAGGAGTCACAATGGGACCTTCTGGGCGGGCGCATGACGAAGTTCTTGAAGGAGTTTGAGCGGACGGCGGCGCTGCCGGCAGAATTTTCGACAGCGGTGACGGTGCTTCTGCACAAAAAGGGGGACAAGGAGGATCTGCAGAATTATCGCCCGATCACCCTGTTAAGCACGGCATACAAGCTTGTGGCGAAGATTCTGGCAAACAGGATAAAGCATATGCTCGAGAAGGTAGTGTCTACGGGGCAGTTTGGATTTCTACCTGGGCGGAACCTGGCTGGTTGTGAGGATCTGGTTCAGGAAAGATGATTCTATTGAATGAATCACCTGGGTACAAGGCGAGGCTATATATAGGCTCGACACAAGGCCAGTTACCCAGGTGTTACGCGAATGTTCTGAGGGTCGCGAAGCGTCCCAAACAGAACCTTCCCGAACTGAGTAGAAAGCAATTCTGTGGGAACCGAAAAGGCTTGAGTTCGGTACACGTAACCTGGTTCGGTGCTATAACTATAATAACATATAGGAATGCACCTAACCTAGGAAATCAAGCATAAGCAAGCAAAGCAAAATAAAGCTAAGCTAGATAATGCGTAATAAATTAGAATCAAGCAAGTAAAGTCCAGCAAAGCCATCGTACTCTCACACTGGTGAAGTGGCGATTGCGGTGGATGCAATCGACGTGGCCAACTCCGGGGGAGAGGATTGGCTGCATCTGCTGGTAGACTTCAGGAAGGCGTTTGATTCCGTTTCTAGGGGGTACCTGTTCGAAGTGCTGAGGAGAATGGGGTTCCCGGATGAGTACGTGAAGTGGGTTGAGGGCCTGCACCAAGGGGCGGCAACACGCATCTGCAATGATGGCTGGCTCGGGGACGAAGTGCCAGTACAGACCGACGTGAGGCAGGGCTGTCCTCTCGCGCCGTACCTATTCGTTTGTGCGGTGGAGCCTCTCTGTCAGGAAGCGCAAAGAAGGCATCTCGGTGTGGACATTACGGGGCAGGGAAGCTGACGTACCTGGGCTACGCAGACGATACTACCTTTCTGCTGAAAGGGCGAACGCAGCTTGGCATGGCGGAAAAGCTGCTCCGGGACTTCGAGCAGATGTCGGGGCTGGAGGCAAACTGTGACAAAACTGTGGTGATGCCACTCGGAAGACAGCGGGATGAGCCGCCGCTGCCGGTCTCTCCCTTCAAATGGACGGCGCGGGATGAGCTTGAGCGCCTGCTGGGGGTATGGATCACATCGGGAGGGGACGCAAAGCCATCGTGGAAAAGGCACTGCGGAGGATGGAGACGGAGCTTAAGAAACGGGAAGAGAAATATCTTACTACGACAGCACGTGTAGCGGTGATCAATGCGTACGTCATGCCCATTGCGCCTTTCCAGGCGCAGGTGTATCCCCCACCGGACACCATATGGGAGGAGCTCCGGAGGCTGTGTCACGCTTTCGTGTCTGGAGGAAGGGCGAGTGTGGGGCCCGGTTTCATCCTGTGGAGCGCGGAGCTAATGCAGATGAGGAGGAGTGATGGGGGGCTGGGGGTAATCAACCTCCGAAACCGGCTCGACGCTCGGCAGGCGGGCTCCTGACTGAGGAGTCCTCCCTGAGGAGAACCCTAGCGGAGAAGGCGGCACGCCTCCCTCTCGGCTACGTGTCATTCTATGCGCATGAGGCCCTGCTCAAGGCGTGGGGGGGGGAGGAGTGAGCGATGGAAGGCGATTGCGGCAGTAGTGATGGCGTCCCCTATCGCCCGCGACCTGCCGAGCAAAACCAGATGGGATGTGGAGAAGGAGCGGGTAGTTTTCAACTGACACATACTACGGGGTGAGAGTTGCCCTTTTGGGAGAAGGAAGGAGGACGGATGCTTGCGCGACATCGCCGTGGGGGACCTGGTGATGAAGTGGGTGGATGGCACCCGGAGTCCTAAATTTCTGGATCAGCTAGCGCGTTTGTTGGGCAGCAAAGAGGCAGCGGCGCTAGCAGCAGTTGTGTTTGAGGCAGTACCGGTCGAATGGAAGGCTCGGGTCCTGAAAAAGCTCGGGGCGAGCGGATTCAAGAGGCAACGAGGGTGGTTCGCGCTGTGGGCCGCCAAGAACAACTGTGGTGGATAACTAAGGTGTGTGGCAACCTGTTAAGATGTGCAAAGATGTGGCGACGAGGTGACGGAGCGTCCTGGTTCGTGCCAGAGGGAGCGAGTATCTGCCTACTATCGGTGTCTGCAGTCACGCCGCTTGCAATGGCGGGAGAGAAGGTGGCAGGGGAGCTGGGTGACCCTCGCGTCAGGCTGTTGGGAACAGACCTCTGTGTGGGAGACATCGTCGCCTCCCTGAGGCAGCTGAGAGCAGAGCTGGAGGAGGAACATGTGGGGCAGCACGTCCGTCAAGAGAAATGGGAGAGAAGCTGGGGAAGCGAATCAACTGCGAAAAGACAATTGCGCGCAGGGGCTCGCATGTCATCCCCGCAAAAGCTCGGGATGTCCTGCTGCGCGCACACTATTCCAACTTGCAAGTGGGGGACCGCCTAAGATTCCTGGGGGAGCGGGTGAAATGCCCACATAGTGGGGAGGCGGAAACGGTGGACCACGCGCTATTCTCTTGTCGGGTTATCCAGCCGGTGGTGCAAGCGTTGATCGGTGCCATCCACTGGCTAAACCCGTCGAGGAAAGTGAAATCGTTGGGGGATCTGATGTTTCAGCGGGGGGGCACATCCTCCGATTTCCCGGAGCTGACGGTGTCAGCAATCACGTTTCACCAATTATGGGTGGCGCGTTGCCACGCGGTCTTCAGAGGAAAGAAACTCCGGCGCGGAAAAGTGATGCGGAGGATTGCGACTGCTTTCTGCTTGCATGCGCGGACCTACGAGGGCA